CATGGAGCGTGGCGCGGAGGCCCACCCCCTCAGAAGCAGCCGGCCTCCGCCGCGCCAGCCGCCCGCCCGAAGTAGGACATGGCGCCATCTTTTTTCCCCCGCCGAACTGCAGCGAGGAAAAAGGGCTGCCCGAGCGAGTGGATCGCGGGGTCGGTTCCCCCTCCCTTCCCCCGGTGGCCGAGGAGGAGGAGGCGGGGCGGCCTCACGGGCTGTCGACCTTGGCGTGAAGGAAGGCCCCCCCCCGCCCTGCGGAACGCGCGCCCAGGATGGCCGCCTTCCCACCCGCCGGTCCGGAAGGCCGAGGGAGGCTCGTCTGACTGGTCCGCGGCGATAAAAAGGTTGGGGACCACTGAGTTAGAGTACTACTATGGTAGTTTAAACAAATGCTTCATGAGATGCATTTATCAATAAGTTTCCAAGTGCATTTCAAAATGCTGCTTGCTAGCTATTAAATCTCCTGTGGCTGGAGCCCTGAAATTTTGGGGCATACTTTTCCCAGTATATTTTGCCTATCCTTTTCAGATAACCAGGGAGTATTTGCTTAGTCATTCTCTCATATGTGGAGTTATGGTGGGAAACGGGCCAATGCTGCATGTTCTCTATAACAGCTCCCGTCCACTGCAGTAACCAGCATGTGTGAAAAAAAAATGCATTTTTTTAAAAAAAAAAAATGAGTTATTTATGTTTGGAATCACTGAAGGATTAATATGCCAAATAAAAACAGCTTGTAACTATCTTTTTCTGGATGTAATAACTACATGAATTTGGTATTTATTTTCCATTGATATTCCCACTGTTGCATATCAATTGATCTCTTTAAATTCTGCATCAATTTAATGATAAGAGTTTTTGATTTGATTTCAAAACAAGTTAAAATAAGTCACAACAGATGCTTGGAATTTTTTGCTATATGTTTTTCAAATTTGTCCAAACTAATGAGTAGTCCATATTGTTATTGTGGTGTTTTTAAAAAAACCTATACTACTTATTTGAAGATACTGAAACTAATGAATTTCTGAATGTTCTACAGAAACTGTCTTGAAAGATTTCACTTTAGTTTTAATCTTGCTGTCTAAATAATTTATTATCTCTTCACTGACCAAATTCTATAGCAATTAAGCAAGAGACCGTAAATTGGACTTAATCATTTACTTCCATCACATACTTTTGGTGTATTACTTATGATGAAGTCATGACTTATATATGAAACGTTTGTTTATATCCCACCAAAATTATTTTGCATGCCTGCAAATCCTGCTCCTTCAACAAAGCTAAACCAGCAATCCAATCCAATCTGTATTCCAAATTAAATTGGCTTAATAATATAATTTGAAATGTGCGATACAGTTAATTCACCTTGTACTTTCATATCTTGTAAAACCTTGAATTTAACCCTTACTCTTTGGTTTCGTCAAATATAGTTAGTTGCCGTTGCCCATTCATTTAATATCTCCCCACCACCAATTCTTACTGGAATCATATGGAAGTTGATCGTTTTAAAAAATATTCATTTTTACTGACTATATTCTTTCTAATTTGAACAAGTTAACTTCTGTCTTAAGATACCTGCCATTGTATTTTTCCAACTCTGTTAATAATTTTTCTTGATTTAGCTGTCATTAGGTTCTATTAAATAATTTTCCAGATATTTAATTGGTTAAAATATAAGTGAATCTTGTTATTTTCTGAAAATGTTGCTTTTCTTCTTCAGGTAAATTCCATGCTAACATTTGAGCCTTGTTTTTATTGATGTCCCAATCCATATTTCTGTATATGCTCCATTATTGATTCTAAAAAAAACCTTTGGATGGGTAGCTCTTGAGAACAATGCCATCAGCATATAATTTAAGTTTTATTTTTGATTTGCCAATTTTATTCTCTAGTCTTTTTTTTTGCAATATTTCTAAAGCCAACAGAAATAAAGGTGAGAGAACATAAGTCTTTCTTGTCCCTTTCATTATAATACATGTTGCTGTACATGTTAATTGAATTTATCTAGTGGATAAGCTACAGCCCTAAGAAATTAATTTGCTATACCAGGTCAGCAGTCAATGCATCTTGCAAAGCCCAATCATACAATTGTTCAGGATAAGAGATTGAGCAATGACATGACACAAATGACCAAACAATCCATCTTCCCTCTTACCTACATGAAATCATTCCTTTCCCAGGCCATTCTAACTGATAAATGATAATACTGATTGGAGAGAAGGCCTGTCCATCACTGAACCAATTATCTACCCTCACAACCCAGTAATTATGAACGGTACAGGTACAGATGTGCTAGTCGTTTCTGACTCTAGGGGGCAGTGCTTGTCTCCATTTCAAAGTTGAAGAGCCAGCACTGTCTGAAGATGTCTCCGTGGTCATGTGGCCAGCATGACTAAACTTCGAAGGCACATGGAAACTGCTATCTTCGATTTCTAACTTCCAGAAATAAAGCATGAGCCAGAAACACATGAATTTTCCCCATGATGATTGGACATAAGGAGCCTGACAGAACTGGATTAGTCTTGTGAAGAACAGTGCTGCAGAAATCCATGTCTTTGTTTCTGTTATCCAAATTCCTGATCTTCAAAAGTATTGGCTGCTCTCCTGGTTTCTAAAACCCCTTATTAGTAGCCTGCCTTTGTTTTTCCTGATTGACAATTTTCTGGTGTTTTGTTATTCATTTGATTTCATTTTAGGAAACAAACTAGTGCCTGACCTTCAGCTACACAATCAGTCAACTGCCTATGAGCAACACTCTAATGCATCCTTTGATAATGGATTGGGAAAAAAAACCCTTTCCACTGAAAAAGCATCTGATTTACTTTACAAGTGTTCAGACTATATCATGTTTCTGATATTCACTGTCTTTGAAAAAGAACAAAGGTAAAATATTCTCATTAGCATTATTAATAGTCCTTCCTGTCAGAGTCTACGATAAAATCCTGAACAAATGATTGTGAATATCTCAGAATGCAAATGGAAGTTATTTATTTCTGAAATACTGTATCTTTTAGACTATAAGGCGCACCTTATTTTTTAGGTAGGAAAATAAGAAAAAAAATATTCTGCCTCTGCCTACCAGCATCCATGGTATTCATCTGGCTAGCATCCTGTCAGTGTGGCTTGTTCTGTACTAAAGCTGCATGCTGTGCTGATATCTGAAACTAAAACTGAAATTTCTCTCCTCTGCTGACCTACCATGTTGGAAAACCTGCTTTGGGTATTGCATATTTACTTAATGTGTTATATTATATATCAAGAGAAGTTATTGAATCCCGCTGAATCAATCACTTGTGTGTGCTTTCTGGATGTGACTGCTGCTGCAAACTCTGACAGGTCCTTGCAGCAAATAGTGAACAGCCATGTCAGCTTCAGCACATTATTTCCACCTGATTCAGCATGAGCAGCTGATTGGCGGGTGGATCAACCTTCCAGAATACCCCCAATCAGCTGTTCCAGGCTGCAGGAATTACCACAGACCATCGCCTTCTCCGTGCCTCGCGTTTTTGGCTGCATTCGGTGTATAAGACACACCCAAATTTTCACCCTCTTTTAGGAGGGGGAGTGCGTCTTATACTCCAAAAATACGGTAATTAAGAAAATCAGCAACAATGTACAAACAAAGATTACATTTAAAAATTATTTGACTTCATTGCGATATTTACTGTAGCACAGAAACACCTTAAAAGGACCATTCAAACACTTGAAGTAGTAAACATATTTTTACTTAATGGAGTGCTAGAAAATGAATTATATAGTTCGCAGCTCTTCCATCTTTCTGATAACACTTCTTTGATTTAAAATGATTCATTCAGGGAGAACACTTTTTTAAAAAAGGGATTTGATTAATGCAACCCTCTGATTCCTCCTACAGCCCCAGATGGGCTCTGACTCATACCAAGGTTAGTTCTGAAATCTTTATATTGAGTCCTCTGGAGGGAAATAGAAAAGAGGATTCTTTCAAAAAGGGCAGTGAGGAAAAAAAACATCAGGGAGCAAAATTATATTTAGGCTGCCTTCCCTTCTCTCCTTTTCTCACACTTGGCATGAATGGGCAATCTGAGTGCCAGTGAGCAAGTATGGATCATCGAATTTCAGTATTGGATTAATTGCTCCTCCTACCCACAGAACAAGGATACAGTATCTGTCTAGCCATAATATCATTGCTAGAAGGCAGCATCGTGGAACCTGCAGCCCTTACCAGCCCTTATCTAATTCCAAGTGGTGGGAATTGTGGTAAAGCACCCCTAGAAAGAAACTGACTTCTCATTCCTGCCATCATCATTGGTTGAGGGTATCCTAAAGCTTATTCATCTGAAGGCTGCCTATCTACATACTTTTGATTCAGTGGTGGGTTTCTAATTTTTTTTACTAGTGTTTTGCTCGCATGCGCAATGCTTCTGTGCATGCGCAGAAGTATCCGGGCGGTTGGCGGAACCTCCTTCTGCCTCCACTACTGGTTTGCCTGATGTGGGCCAAACTGGCAGAAACCCACTTCTGTTTTGATTCCTTGATAAACTTGGCTTTGGAGAATAAAGATATGGACGAACTTGCACAGGGAGGAATGGAAGAAGTTTCTGCGTGATGTTGTAAAGGGAAACTTAGTTGTCAGGCCTGGAAGCCATTTTTTGCATTGGGCCTTCAGGCCTGCCACATTTAATGCTGTGGGAAATTGGGAGGGAGTGAGGTAGATAATAGTCTGCCCCACTATATTGAGTGCAGTAGATATAGTCAAAATAACATTCCTTTCTGAGAAAGTCAAGGACATTTTGCCCTGTGTTTGGGGTGGAGTGACTGGGATGCATCTCCAGTTGAGACGGTGCTTGATTGGACCATGTGATGGACATGTGGATGCTGGGCAGGGACTTGAACATTTGTTTGGATGGGGAAAAGCTGGAGGTTTTCAGATTCGAATTTTCCCAGAAGTGCCAATATGACATCTCTAATAAAATGGAACTTTCAGGAACCTCAAGTCTCGGGAGTCTTTTTTTCATTAGGGGTGTTACTTGAAACCCTGACAATAGTGCTAGAATAAAGTTCTGACATACTGAGAGTGCGCATTTCTTTGATCTCCAGAAAGTGCTTTGCTGAACAAAAAGGAATAAGAACGGAAAGCTTGATTACAACACCTTACAGTAGCTGGGTCATTTTCCAGACTCATTCAGCAGCTCAGGAAAAGGAACAGCTATTTCCAGGCAGGGCAGGTAAGTGCTATGTTTATTGATACATGCCTTTTGTAGCACCTTTTGGAGACTGAATTGCTGCACAGTCCTAATGTATACATACAGGTAGTCTTTGACTTACAACCAGTCAGAGTTACACCAGACCTGAGCACCCTGCAAAAGGTACTTGCAAACCAGTTCCGAAGTTCTGATAGCCGGGCCCTCCCCACAATGCACACAGCAACTGCTCAACATTGATGGCCATTTGCAGCATCCTGTGGTCACATGACTGAGATTTACACCATTTTTGCAGAAAACTGGCATTTACTTCTGCTCTTCAGCAAAACGCCCCATTGCAGACAATGGGTTCGCTTAACAACTATGGTGTTTGCTTAACAATGTTCACAAAATAGCTCATAAAGTAGAGTCTAGTTACTTGATGACCCGCTCTATGACCATCACAATGTACAACCTGTAATTATGTATCTAATACGGATTACTGGCAAAATAGAGTTCCCTGATAAAAACATGAAAAGTTGCTTTACCCTAATTTTCATCTGCTATATCGTAAAAGTTTGGTGTTTTTTTAAAAACACCAGCCATCCTGCAAAACCAAAGTACAATGAATATTTTGTATGAATCAAGAGGCAATAAAATGAAACAAAATGATATACAAAGATGAATGTTAACTGAATTTGCTCTATAAAAGCAATTCATTCTTGTAACAAGTAAATTATTTGAATTTTACCTGAGCCCCTGTTGCAATTTCATCTGCGGCTTCATTCATCACGCCTAGAGTTTGGAAAGCAAATACACACAGTTCCCGTTCACAGACAGTTGGCTAAAAGCAAAGGGGAGAAAATGGTTATTCTTATATTTAACAACCTTCACCAACCTAACATTCTACACATGTTGAAGACTACAGTTCCTAGAACATCTAGGTAACTTGTCCAAAGTTTAGTTGGTATGCTGGGAGATGCAATTCCAGCCAAGGGACTGATATCTTGTACATGTGTAGAACTGCCATGTGTGGTGTGTGTGTGTACACTAATTTGTGAAAAATATTCAAAGTCTTTTTGCCTATGAATTCTCATTCAGTTTAATGCAAGAAATTAGTTTTCATCATATATTTCAAAGGGGAATAAAAGTTTGGTATTGTTCTAGCATTTTTGCATTTATTTGCAGATTAGGTAGCTAAGAGCTGTTTCTGAATGTCCCACCTCCTATTTAATAATTACCACTGCAATGGTCTCAGGCTCCCTGACTTTCTCTATTTCAATCCAATCCCAAGAGAAGAAATCACGAGGGGACTTCTCCCACTGAGGCTTTTGGAAATGGGAAATATAGAGTCAAGGAAGCTTGAAATGTTGGGAAAACGTGTAATTCTTCCCCCAGCAATTACTAGAAAGAGTATCCTTACCCCTACACCAACAACAAGATAAATTCAAGAACACTTTCAAGACAGTTTTTGAGAATAAGATGTAAACTTCAAAGCCTATTGTGCAAATAGGCTTGCAAAAATGTTTTCAAAGTTGTGAGGTAGATCTCAGCACAGTATTAATCTATCTATCTATCTATCTATCTATCTATCTATCTATCTATCTATCTATCTATCTATCTATCTATCTATCATCTATCCATCCATCCATCCATCCATCCATCTCTATATCATCTATATCTATCTACCTATCTACCTATCTACCTATCTACCTATCTACCTATCTACCTATCTACCTATCTAC